GTTCAATGACAGGCTAATTAGCTGTGGACTCTCTTTTTTTCTTTCTTTCTTTTAAACCCAGAAGCAAGCCTCCCCGGAGAAGACATTCCCGACGATAACAAAAGCTGCAACTGCGAGTTTGTGACGGAAGATTTAACGCCAGGACTTAAAGTCAGCATCCGGGCAGTGTGGTAAGAAAAGAAGAGGAGGAGAGGGATGAAGGAGAGTGGGGGGCGGAAAAATTTCCTTATATGGTCAAACATTAAAGGAAAATAATAAGGGGAATTTAAAACCAAGCTGAGTGGAATAATGCGCAAAGCCCATTCTTCTGGGTTCCTCCCAGGTGCTCTGTTTTCCTTTCCATAAAGCTAAGCAGAGAAAAACCATTTTTGCTTGTAGGAGGAGTACAGGGAGAAATGGGAAAATGCCCTAACAGTGTTACAGATAGATCATACCACTTGCTTCATGGCTGAATGTTGACAGTTACAAAACCAGACGGTGGGAAGACACTCCAGGCTGACCGAGTGAAGGGCACTAAGGCGGCTACGTTGGTTTTTTTAGGTCCTAGATTTATTGACACAAACTCCTAACTTAAATCCCCGCTTCTTCCCCAGTCACGCTGGTGGGTGCGGCTCACTTTCCCCCCTCGACTACAACCCCCAGAGTATGGATTTGTATCCTCGTCTGAGTTTCCCCAGTCTGGCCTTGTCAAGCTTTGGCATTCCTCCTTACAGAGCTGAGGGATTCAGACAGAGATCTAGACTCAGAACCAAATGTACTGTTTGGGGCCTGGGTGCTAGAATCCATCTGTGCTTCTTTCCTGTGCTGGTCAGTCTAGATGTCTGTCCAGAGCTTGTCCAGTGACCTGAGCACTAGCAAACAGAATTGCAACCTAGAGAAATGGGGTCTTATTCTCAGACCCAGTCTCCTGCTGTTGGAATGACTGTAGGGGTAACTTTAGAACAGTGCTTTAGGGACACCTCAGGAGCACCATGGGGAAGTGAAATTCACCCACCCTGGTGCAAATGGGCCACTGTAACAAATCCACCGGTGAACATCACCACGCACGTGCAGATCTTGGGAGAGGATGCAGGCTCCTGGGCTTCAAAACCAGGAACTCCTCTGACTCCCCCTAAATTATCATCTCAGTTAGCTATACCATACAATGTCCTTGCCCTTGCCCTGTGGCCCGGAGGGGTCAGTGGGTTGTGGGCACACACTCACACAGACCTGCCCTCCAGCGCTGGAAGTTTTTTTCTGAGCCACTCAGACTGACTGGACTCCATGTGGCACCCTTTGTCACTGCATCGTGTCTTTACAGGAGGGTTCCATTTGGCGGCTGAGAAAAGCAGTCCTGGTCAGCAGGCTAGCCATTCCCTTCCTTTCCCAGAAGCCTCTTCTACTCCCACCCCCCACAGACCTACCTCCATTACTTTCAGCCATTTTCTGACAGACACCTAGCAACCAGCATTCCCGCTAAGCTGCACACAAGGTTAATCAGCCCCACCCAGTCAGAGGCTCAGGGCTGCACAGCTTAGAGGGAACACTGCTGGCAACCCATCTATCCCTCTTCTCTGCAGTATCTTAAAGCGGGAGCCATTTCCCCAAGAATTTTCTGAGAGGGGTGGAAAAATCAGTCTCTCCTCAGAACACGGCTAAAGATAAACAGGGGGAAAGAAGCAAATGATTTGTTGTTAGGAGAGGAAAGTCCTGTGGATAAGGAGTGGCCTATTATTTTTCCTCAGCTTATATCTGAGATCCAGCCAGTATTCAGATTGTGAGAATCAATGTTCCCTGTAAGGTAAGCTGGCTGCTCGGGGGAGATTCCAATGCCACCCAGCTGATTAGCAGAAGGCCTGCAACTAGATATTGTGTTTCTATTGGTGGTGCACATTTGCACATGCCTCGGTGCACGTGAAAAATTATTCCACACATGGATGGAAAAGATGAGCAGGAACATTGGTGGGGATCCCCATCTAGTGTGCATTATCCCAATACCAACAGGTTGGCCCCTGCACTGTTGGGATTATGAGTATGCCTTTTTCGGGGGGGAAGGGCGGTTGTGTGAGGCAGGGATTTATAGATACCGTTTCCCCATTCAGTAAATGCATCACTGCCCAGCATGAAGATCAATTAATAAGCCCGGAAAAAAAACCCAACCACCAAAGAATATTTTCCAATTATTAATTATTTTTTTGGCTGGATCTGTGCTTCCTGCTGCCATCAGTGTGAAATGCACAAGGAGGGTATTAAAGGAAGCACAAAGCCTCCAGAAAATGCTGGCCCTTTCCTCATCCAAATGCCTTCAGGGGCAGATAGTGATTACAGCTTTGAGGCATCGGGGGTTGCCATTGGCACCTCTCTTGCAGAGGGTTTGACTGCCACGTCCTTCCCCGATGGAGCCAAGGGGAGCAGCTTTAAGTTACCATGGAGCACCATAGAAGGCCACCAAGGAGTGGCACTGATCAGCTGTGTGGCTCCAGTCTGCCCCCAAGACCTCCAGTGGGCAAGCTGGGGGTTATGGATACTGCACATTTCTGAGGCTCCTCCCCTACGTGGAAGACCCAGTTGGTTAATGAAGCCAGCAACTCCACAGGTGCACAGAGTCCTATATCTGGAGCCTTGGTTCTCTCTGCAGTATCTGAAGTAGCCGCGGATGGCGTTAGCTTTTCAGCTGTTTTGCTGTGCTCTGATTCACAGCAGCATGGACGTGCCCATCGCTCTACGGTGCATGGCTCCACCACGGCGAGCTGATGGTTTCCTTTCTTTCTCCCCTAGCATCATGAAATTTCTTGTTTCCAAGCGGAAGTTCAAGGAAAGCCTCCGGCCTTATGACGTGATGGATGTCATTGAGCAGTATTCAGCTGGTCACTTGGATATGCTCTCCCGGATTAAAAATCTCCAGTCCAGGCAAGAGACTCCACTGTTTGTTGTGATAGCACCCCAGAGGCAGATGGTAGGAGTGAGAGGGTTAAGATAAAGTCCTTTCATTCAACAGCCGCGTCCTATTGTTCTTTCTAAGGAAAAGCCTAGTGCAAAACAATGGATTTCTGAATCACTCCTGGTTGTGAGTTGGTTGGAAGGGGTGAATTTTTGATGAGGAGGGTAGATTCGATTTACAGTGCCCTTTCTTTCCAATGAAAATAAGGGCAAGTAAGTGTCCAGGTTAGTGGAGGTGAGCTGTGAATTCTGGGTAAGGGCTCTAGACAGGATCTAGAAACAGCCTCAGGCTCTGTTATGAAAGAGAAGCACATGCTGTTGCATTTCCTTCTGCCAGTAAAGCTGCGGTGACCTCCCATGGTACCTCTTATTGAGGGATCCTTCTCTTCTCCCCACCCCCCACAAGCAGATTGTAACAGGTGTGTTGTGAGCAAGGCACGAGAAGTCATTCTTCTACTCTACTCTGCGCTGATTAGGCCTCAGTTGGAGTATTGTGTCCAGTTCTGGGCACCACATTTCAAGAAAGATGTGGAGAAATTGGAGAGGGTCCAGAGAAGAGCAACAAGAATGATTAAAGGTCTAGAGAACAGGAGCTACGAGGGAAGACTGAAAGAATTGGGTTTGTTTAGTTTGGGAAAAAGAAGACTGAGAGGGGACATGGTCGCTGTTTTCAAGTATCTAAAAGGGTGTCACAAGGAGGAGGGAGAAATTTTTTTTTCCTTGGCCTCTGATGATAGGACAAGAAGCAAAGGGTTTAAACTGCAGCAAGGGAGGTTTAGGTTGGACATTAGAAAAAACTTCCTAAGTGTTGGTGGATAACACTGGAATAAGTTGCCTAGGGAGGTTGTGGAATCTCCGTCACTGGAGATATTTAAGAGCAGGTTAGATAGATATCTGTCAGGGATGGCCTAGAATCTGTGGTTCTCAACTGGTAGTCCATGGACCACTGGTGGTCCACGGTGACTTTTTCGGTGGTCGACAGGAGCATTGTACAGAGTCACATGACATGGGCAGGCACCAAAAATCTGTTAGTAAGAAATAAATTTCAAACCAAAATGTTCGTGGTCTGCTCTTTTTTATCATGTCTCAAAAAGGAGGTGGTCCACGAAAATTTTTTGATTGGCCTGGTGGTCCGTGGACTGAAAGGAGTTGAGAACCACTGGAGATGGTGCTTGGTCCTGCCGTGAGGGCAGGGGACTGGACTCGATGACCTCTCGAGGTCCCTTCCAGTTCTAGTGTTCTATGATTTCCCCCTGCCACCTGAGAGTATGTTAAGAACTTCTCTCACTGTGGCCCCACAGACGTGGGTGTATGTAAATCTTTCAGAAACATTTTGGAACTTGTGTCTCGGTGCTTTGTTGTCACATGCCTGCAATTTGACATCCCCATTCTAGCACTGTGTGGCACATCTAGTGTCCTTTCCAGCAGTGAAATAAAATAAAGGAGCTACCTATGAGGAACATTTTTGGCCCTCTCAGTAGCAAGAGAGGACCTATTAGAAAAATGGTCCCAGTATAAGGGTCTGGTAATTATTTTACATCTTTTGCCCTAGGAAGTGGGGAGGAGTCTGTTTGGATTGGGTGCGAATGGGGGAAGAATGGCTTAATATTATGGGAGTTTTATGCCCAGCTGGGTAGCCACAGTGAAATAGGAACAAACCTGCAGCTGCTGTTTAGCTGTTGGGGTACTGAATCGGTTTTATAGGTGAGACAGTGCGTGAAGGGGACATAAAACATGGAGCAGGAGCCAAACAGTGTTTAAACTGTATGAAAGAATAAACATTAGAAAGAGTAGAAAAGGAGGGGGGAAAGAGAGAGTGATACTTGGAACTCCACCCTTCCTCTCCAATACCCAAATTATTTTACCTCAGGAAATGTTTGAATTCAAAGCAGAGGAGAGAAATGCCCTTGACAGGAAGAACTTGTCCCTCTCTCCTTACAAATAACCCTCAATTATGTCAGTTAAGAAAGCCTGACGTTTTCTGCCGATGGGTCTGGATATATGTAAGTCAAGACATGACTGTGCACCTTAAGCCCTGGTCTACACTGGGGAGTTATTTCAAAATAACCCCCTTATTTCAAAATAATAAGTGGAGCATCACCCCACTAAGCCCGTTATTTTGAAATGAGGGGCTGGTTATTTCCAAAGTTGTACTCCTGCTTTCCTTGGGGCATAAGCGAATTTCGGAATAGTTATTTTGGGTGTTGTGATTTCAAAATTAGTTATTTTGAAATAATTTCTTGGTCTAGACATGCCCTTAATTACTTTTACTCTAAGTGAATGTCATTTGTTTGTCTATCTGTTTCTGCCTATTTATAAGTTAGAGCAGGGGTGGGCAAAATCGGGCCCGGGGGCTGGATCCAGCTTGCCAAGCATTTCTCTCTGACCTGCCCAGCTGATTAGTAGAGGTGCATTCTTACAGCTGGCAGGGTGTGTTCAGCTGCCCCATTACCCACCTTGCTCCGTCCTGCAGCCAAGCTGCTGCCAGGATTCTCCTGCTAGCAGTGTAGAATTCGCGGAGGGGTGGGGGAATGGGGAGTGCTGAAGTCAGGGTGTCCCCGTACCGCATCTCTGCAGAGCAGGGGTCAGGGAGAGGGAGAGACACAGCGGAGCTGCTCCAATCTGAAGTATGGATGGTAAGTGACTGACACACACTCGCTCTGCAGAGCAGGGAGAGGTAGACAACAGAACAGGACAAATTTCCCTTAAAGAGACAGCACCTGGCTTTTCTCAGAAACTTACCCAGCAGCAGCCAGCACACACACTCTCTGTGCCAGTCACCCACACCCATTATGTGCCACGCATACACACAGTCACTGTTACACACACTGCCATACACACTCTTCCATCTCTGTGCCACACACACTCAATCTGTGTCACAAAGTCTGTCTCACACACAGTGTCTCTGTTTCACACTCACGCACTTTCTTTCTCTCTCTAGTCCCCACTCTTTCTGCTCGAGGCCCCACCCCTTCTGGGGGTGGGAGTGGGGGTTGAGGGTCTGGAGTCAGCCCAGGACAACACATCCAAATTTATGAAATAGACCCCCTGCGAAAATTATTATCCACTCCTGGGTAAGGGACAACCAAGAAATTAGATGTAAATTTTTGCATCTGTAACCTTGTAGATGAAAAATGGGTGCTCACGTGGATTCTAATTTATAGCCTAAAAGGGACTTTCTCCAGCCCCTGTTGGAAATTTCTCAACTCATTTCAAAGAAAGTTCGAATGGGTCCTTTGCAAGGATGTTTTGTTTAAAACAAAAGGAAGTTTTTCTTCACCCAGTGTACAGTCAACTTGTGGAACTCCTTGCCAGAGGATGTTGTGAAGGCCTAGAGTACAACAGGGTTAAAAAAAAAAAAAACCTCGATATGTTCATAGAACATAGATCTATCCATGGCTATTAGCCTCTATTTGGCAGAAGCTGGAGGTGTGATGATTCCCTGTTCACTTGATGATTCCCTGTTCTGGTTATTCCCTCTGGAGCATGTGGCATTGGGCATTGTCAAAAGACAGGATACTGATCTAGATGGGCCTTTGTTCTAACCTAGTAGGGCCATTCCTATGTTCTTAGTGCAGATGACAGGAAACAGTCTGCTTTGTCTTTGGATCTTTAATCTCAACGTCTAAATGATGGAACCGTGATGGGGCTCAGTCAACAGGTGTGACCTCACATCCCCCACAGAAGCACTGGTGTTGCCAGAATACTGTATGTCACCTGTATGCCCGGTTAATTCTTGATTCATCATGTCATTCAGAGAGCAGGGCTTAGCTTTCTGTTATAAACCCTCTGGCTGTGTCAACACTGGCATGAATTTCTGGAACTGCTTAAAACGGAATACTATTCCGTTTTCAGTTTTTCCGGAAAAGGAGCGTCTACATTGGCCAATGTAGACGTGCTTTTTTGGAAAAGAGCCCCGATCGCCATTTTCATGATCGGGGCTTTTTTCCGGAAAAGACTACTGGGCTTTCTACACTGGCCCTTTTCCGGAACAGTGTTCCGGAATAAGGACTTATGCCCAAGCGGGAGCAGAATAGTTTTTCCGGAATAGCGGCTGATTTTGTACAGTAGAGCGGCGGTGCTTTTCCGGAAATTAAAGGCCAGTGTAGACAGCTCGCAGCTTATTCCGGAAAAGCGGCTGATTTTCCGGAATAAGTGGCCCAGTGTAGACACAGCCTCTGTGTACAGTAATGCCCCGATTCGGCAAAGCAGGTTTCGCTGTACACGTATGGAAGCAGCTCTCTCCTTCTGAGATTTCCAGCCAGGGTGCACAGTCAAGTAGCCTGTCTGAGTTAGGTCAGATCTCAATGGGCAGACATACTTTCTGGGGTCTTCAGCTGAACCTTGCCCCTTCATAAAGTTCTCCAGTCCCACCTCCATTTTTCTTGCTCTGAGATTGTGTGTTCCAAAGAGAATGTTGTTTGACTGGTTGATTTTTGTGTGGAATGGGGAGCGGCTCTTTAGAAAGACATGGTCCAATTCTCCTCTTGTTGCATCTGGGCTGTGGGATGCAGCCATCATTGGGGTAGACTGTGATGTAGTCAATACTTCCTTCCATCCAGGAAAGGAAGGAAGAAAGTAAAAACTCTTACTGTTCTATGTGGGCTACTTGGACCTTCATCTCATGCACACAGGGCATGGTGCTGTCACTTACTCATGAATCCCCAGAACAGATCGGTGGAGAATGAACAGGGCATGGATGGGGAAGACGCTGAGACTTGGGATTGCCCATGCTGATCACCACAATGGAGCTGATGTGGGGGGTTGAGGAGCAATACAGTTTGCTGCTGATGTAGAGCAACGGCAGATTAATACCCCCTGCCGCGATGCAGAAGCTGAGAGCGTGAGCACAGAAATACGTTCTCTCTCTACCATCTCAAACGATAAGGAGTTTGTGGTGAACTTTCATGGTGATCCCTGTGGCCCTGTGTGTTGTTGGGCTAAACTTTATTCAAGGAAACTTCTTTGGT